TGAATCTGAATCTGGGGATTTAGAAGGCGACCATTTTGAATGACGAAGTTTCCTGCCAACCACATTTTGGTGTACCTAGGTGCCGGTGTGAATTAGTCACTATGCTTGACTCTTCTTAAGAAATAACGTATAGCTAAATTGTAGAAAAATTGGAATCGTTAGTTACCAAAAAGGGATGACAATTTTTTTTGGCTTAAAAAAACGAAAAACTAGAAGTGAAGGTATTAGTTCCGTTTACCATATTTTTTAAATCACCTTTTCAATCGAAACATGTACAATACATTTACAACATGTTAAAAAAATCTTTCCCCTTTGTATATTCTTAACTTCAGTATTTAACAGATGTATAAACAATATTTTGTTTAGGTGCTGTGGATAAATTTATGAAGCATGCATCAATTGACTCCCAAAACACTCCCTATGATTACGAGAGCGTGATGCATTATGGGCCAAGATTCTTTTCTAAAAATGGAAAACCAACAATTGTCGCCAAGAAACCCGGAGTAAGTTTACGAGTTGATCTGTCACTGATAGCAGGATTTGGCAAATATTTGCGCATGCGCGCCATAATCCTCATCCTTTATAGAAATAGCAGCTATCAAAAGGGCATTTATAGCAGAATTAGTGTGGTGATATTGAAAGCGATACAATATAGACAATCTTGGTGTAGGCAGACATCGATATTTTAAAGAGAATAAGGGACTTATTGCCGCCTGGCTTTTCTGCAGTTTGCAGTGATTAATGTCTGATAATTCCTTGACATTTATAAGGTGACCGTAAAGTCCGTAAGTGCATTACTTACACAGTTAAGTTTAATCGGTTCTTTTTTGAAGACACTAACTATGTAGTAATCCAAACCGTCCGCAAGGAATTGCGCACTTCTATAGTTAGCTAAGATGTGTAAAATACATTGTACGTAATAATATTCTGTTTAATTGCAGGTTGTCATTGGTCAGAGAATTGGATTAAGCCGTATGGACACTAAAAAGATTAATCTACTCTATAAGGCTGAATGCCACGTTTGTAAGTTATCATCACAATTTAGTACAACATTAAGTAAGAACTATCTATATTTTATTCGATGGAGGCGGTTTTTTCTTTCTAGTGACCAGTTGATGCATCCGATTTCGGATCTGTAGGACTGGGTTCAAGCCTTTCCTTCGCCCCGTTTCCTTAGACTTTTTATTTCCCGCTATCAAATGAAAAAAGGGAAGTATTTCGAAGCGTACTGCTGTTATTTATAGTTCGTTTCTCTTCCTAAGTGGTTCAGTGTATTATGCATATGGACTATATTCCCTATAATAAAAACAAACGCCATCGTTAATATCGGACGTTTGTGATTTTATCTAGTATTTGTTGTTTTATTTTCTGCTTTATGAAGGTAAATAATATATTTGGTCTTACCTTTTCCAACGTATCTAACTTTCCTAACTCATAGTAACAACGTCGAATCTACCCACGACATTGCCGACTTCTTTACCCACAAACGGCGGTAAGCAAACGTCCTTCTTCATAATTTCGTCTAGTTCTTTTTGATAAATTTTTTGTTTCATAAAGGTGAAATATGTTTGTCTCACCTTTGTCAACGTCTTTTTGCTTATTAATAGCAGCAGCGTCTCATCCACTGACGACAAAGCAGACTTCTTTACCTACAAACGGCGGTAAGTAAAAATTAAAGGCGCCTGCTCTTCATAATTTCATCTGTAACTCATTTGTTGTTTTAATTTTCTGCTTTAGAGGTCTAAATAGGTTGGTCTTATCGGCTTTCTCAACTTTTCTTTTTAATTCAAATTGTAGAAACAACGTCTCATCCACCGACGACAATGCAGACTTCTTTACCCACAAACGGTAAGTAAACGCCTGTTCTTCATAATATGTTGGTCTTATCTTGCCTAACGTTTCCTTTAATTCAAATGATAGCAACAACATCTCATCCACCGACGACAATGCCGACTTCTTTACCCACAAACGGAGGTAAGTTCAGCGTCTGCTCTTCATTATTTGATCCAGTATTTATTGTTAATTTTCTACTTTAAAGGTCTAAATATGTTGGTCTTATCAGCTTTCCTGACTTTTCCTTTTAATTCAAATGACAGCAACAACATCTCATCCACCAACGACAATACAGACTTCTTTACCCTGCACAAACGGCGGTAAGTACAACTTGTGCTCTTCATAGTTTGATCTAGTATTAATTGTAATTTTTAAAGGTCAAATATGATGGTCTTATTGGCGTTTCTTTTTATTATTCAAATGATAGCAACAACATCTCATCCACCGACGACAATGCAGAATTCTTTACCCACACACGGCGGTAAGTACGTTTGCGTCTGCTCGTCATAATTTCATCGCGATTTGTTGTTAATTTTACGCTTTAAAGGTCTAAATATGTTGCTCTTTATAACATTCCTAACGTTTCTTTTTTAATCAAATGACAGCAACAACGTCTCAACCCCAGACGACAATGCCGACGACTAATTTACCCACAAACGGTAAGTAAACGCCTGCTTCTCAGGTATTTATTGTTAATTTTCTGCTTTTAAAGGTCAAAATGTGTTGGTGTTATCTTTGCACGCGCTTAAGGACTGGTGGGATAAAAGCAAAGTCACGTGGTTTCTAAGGAGGCAGGCCAGTGATTGACTCTGCGAATACAAAGAAATTTTGGTCGAGTTTTCTTGCTCTAGACAACAGAAAACAAGAGTCCCATTATGACTCTTGCAGAAAACGAATAACTTTATTGTATGACAGAGTGAAGATTCTGCTGTTGGGACATTAAATTACAGAAAAGAAGATATTCTTCAACACCAACAATTTGAGGAAAGTTTGGCAGAGCTTTTGGCGAACCTATCCGGATCCCTTCATCCCTTCTGTGATGAAGTTTGCTGTTATTCGCAGCCTCGTTTTGACGAGGCCGTAAACATTCATACCGAGCGACCAGAACCTACAACCTTCCCCCAATAGGCCATTTACATGATGGCATCATTTTACTACGACTATGACCAGGATCCTTCAGGGTTTTGCGTTCATGTGCAAATTAGGACTTTTGTTATTTAAACCTCATAGGGGCTACCAAATTTAAATATGAAATGAAAAACGAAAAGAATTCTGGTCGTAGTAGTAAAATGACGCCATTGTGCAAATGGCGTATTTATGGAACAATTTAGCTGTCTCATCAAAACGAGGCTGCGAATAACAGCAAACGTCATCACTGATGAAGGGATCTGAATGGGTTCCGAAAGCTCTTAACAAATTGTCGGTTGAAGAATATCTCTTTTCTGTAACTTATATGTAAAACTTTAATGGCAAATTATGGGTGGAGGTGATCATCGTTACTTTTTTAGATGCAGTGGCCACCGTAGATGTCCTTACAGTAAGCAATAGTAACGTAAAACTTGTCAAAACTCGAGCCGTAGATTTTGCATGACTATTAATCGCTGTTTTGTTTTAAGAGAATAAACAAACTCGACCCCGATTTTCTTCTTTTGTCCGCGATTATCTTCTTTTGTGCCCTGAAATATCACGTGACATTGCTTTAATCCCATCAATCCTAAAGTGCGTGCAAAGATGCCGGGTATCGTGAATAAGGTCTATTTTCTGCCCAGTTTTGTCAACCTAATATGATTGTTTTCTTCTTTGAAGAACTAGTGATCGAAACATCAGGTTTTCAATCTTTCAAGTTCTGTGGTCAATTTAATCTCTAAAGTTCGACACGTCCGTCAATATTCATGAGCGGCAGTCAGATCGTAGAGGGATGTATAGAAAGTAGCCTTTTCCAGGCTTCAAGTGGTAATGAGCACAAACTGTGAATCTGATGCGAAAAACGCCACTTCTCCAGAGCACGCGCGTCTTATTTTCGCATGCCTTGTTTAGGCGCCATCGTTACGTATCTGAGGGCCTGGTGAAGTATACGTAGAAAGTATCAGTTCATTTTTTTTGCAGGTCCTGTCATCCCATCACTTCCACCAACGCCTCCCCCTCTCCCTACTCTTCCACCTATTCCGTCTAACACTCGTGAGTAGTATTCCTTTTATTCAGTACTGCATTGCATACAGATGGCATAGATTTTAAAATGAAGAGGACAAACCTGTGTTGTATCAGTATATAAACATACCATAAATCCTCTATTAAGCCCCCCTCTTAAGTAAGCTCCCTTTCTAATGAGCCTCCCTTTTCATGGGAAGAAAGTTATTAAGCCCCCTCCCCCTCTTTTAAGCCCCCCTATCCTCCCTCCTTTTTTCGGTACCAAATTAATACAAGATGGACTGATCCGGTATGCTTTATTCATATGCAGGAAGTGCGGATTTGTTTTAATCTTCGGCTGCAAGACTTTAACGTCATGTGCTTGAGATTCTCCACTTTGCATCCTTGTTCTTTATGGTAAATTGATGCCAACTTCTGGTTGTTTGAAAAAGTAGTATGATGCCCTATTTTGGCAAATTATTTAAGCCCCCCCTGTCAAATCCTTATTAAGCCCCCTTTCAAACTTTCTTGAAATAAATAAGCCCCTCCGAGGGCTTAATAGAGGATGTACGGTACCTTAATCGTTGTGTTATAGAGACTACTCCAGCAACGCCGCCTACTCCAGCAACGCCGCCTACTCCGCCAACTCCGCCCAGTCCGCCAACAGCCAGTAAGTTACGATTGTTTTGTTGATTTTTTTGTTTTCTTTGTTTCACATTCCTCTTGAAGGCTACAGATTCTTCATACAACGAGGATGAGTTGTTTTTTCCTGTTACGGTACCGTCAACAATGTTCATGAAATTCATGAGACTTATAGATTTCACGCATAGATTGAGGTCATGTTTGCTTTAGAATAGAGATATTTAGAGCCAAAATTACGCGGGCAATGCATACCACGTGATCACGTTGTCCCTTAACTTATCGACTATTCTCTACATGGACATAAAAATAAGTAGTTTCATGTCATTTTCATCCATTAGAATGGTTTGCTTAAATTGTGATTTAAGCGTCTCAAATTACATTTCTAACTACGCTTGACAACATTTTCAGAACCAAAATCATGTGGAATAAGGAATGCCCATGGAAGAATCGTGGGAGGAACTGTAGCACTAAAAAACAGCTGGCCATGGCAGGCTATGTTAATTTCATATGGAATCCAGTTTTGTGGAGGATCATTAATACATCCTTTTTGGGTGTTGACAGCTGCTCACTGCATCGAACATGAATCGACAGCGAGTTTCTATATCAGGTGATTAAAATTCACTATCTAACTAACAGTGCTTCAAACGTAACGATAGAAGGATGAGTATCAAGAAATATCTATTTCCTCTTTTGCAAGCACAACTAACAAATAATAGAGACCAGGGGGATCTTTTGATTCTAGGACTAGTATGACTACACTTAGTAATGTGCGCGCCTGGAGCAGCGTCATTTTGGCGGGAAAACGCGATAGCCTTCGTCATTCTGCTACGGGTTTTCGGGAAAATCATGATTTCGTAGTGGCGAAAGCAACTTATCAATAGGTAAAGGTTTAATAGCAGTTTAAAATCGGGGGACGGGTTAATCTTCTTCAATTTTTAAATAATCATGTTAACTTTTCTGTTGAAAAAAATAAAATGAGGCTTTTCGGGTTGTCTTTTTTTGAGAATGCACGAAGAAAGCTGTTAGTCAAATTTCGTTGTCGTAGCTGTCCTCGTCCTAGAATCTAAAGGCGTCTAGTATGAAAATGCGAGAAGGCAAACAGGCAATAATCGAGGTCTTTCGGTCTCCTGCAATGTTTTTTGGGTATAAACCACTTGAATGAGTTAAAGATAGGCAAATCATTTTAAGGGTTCAGTGTTCATATAATGATAATGGTAATCAAGATAACTATTCAGTTGTTATTTTACTTTCGCCACCTTGTAATGTTACAATAATAAAATACTAATTGAAACACCAAAACACCAAATATTAATTTGAGGGCGAGGGCAGAGTAACAATACGTGTTAATAAGGTAACAAATAGATTAAAACGATAAACGGAGGGGGATCGAGGGAAAAGAAAAAGAAGTGTTGAAAGTAAGGTCTTCCTTCAGTTTGTTCGAAAAAGTTGACACACCAAGTGCGCTTTGAATGTATGGGCTTAGAGTCGGCTTATAGAGTTTTAGAACAAAGGAACTTGGTGAAAAGAAGTGGCATTCCCTGGAATTATAACTGGTATCTAATGTCGTAGTAGATAGTGATGATAATAATGATAATTAACTGTTATCAGGTGACAAAATGTGATAGAAAGAACTTTTTCTGGTGATTGTAACTTTGTTATGACTTTTTTTTTATACTAAAGGCTTGGGGCACATAACAGATCAAACGCCGACACAGGAACAGAGCAAGACGTTCGTGTAGCAAAGATTGTTGTTCATCCAAATTACAACAAACCAATTGCGTTATCTAAAGACATTGCTCTTCTCAAATTAGCCAAACCTGCCAGATTGGGAAAAGGAATTGGGATTGTTTGCCTAGAAGACAATGAATACGATCTCCCGATAAATAAACACTCAAAATGCTATATCACTGGATGGGGAAAGCTGTCGTCTGGAGGAGGCCAGCCAGATGTATTGATGCAGGCTTCAGTTCCACTAGTTTCAGAAGAGAAATGTCTTAAAACTTACCCCAATCAAATCGATGATTCCATGTTATGTGCTGGGCTGGATAAAGGAGGCGTGGATGCGTGTCAGGGTGACAGTGGAGGGCCGTTAGTCTGCGAGCACCACCATCATTGGTACCTTGAGGGAGCCACAAGCTGGGGGTGGGGATGCGCTAAACCTGGAAAATATGGCGTTTATGCAAAAGTACGACATTTTAGAAGATGGATAATGAATACAATAGCCCCAGGAAGCGGTATGGTAGAAGATGACCTACATTATTTAGTGATGCTATGAAACTTGAAACTCGATCGCCAACTAGTCATTTGTTACTGTTTTAAAAAGAGAACGGCTGACTGGGTGGTAGATTATATAGCTGATGCGCATCTGCCTCGTCCCCAGTCACTGGCGATCACTTTTTGAGGGATATTCGAGCAAATTGTTTAGGAAAGAGAGGGCGAAAGGAGTGATGGGAACAGGTAAATTATTTACCGGCCGCGTATTGAGTGAAAAGACCACCAGGGGCTGCAAATTAAGTCAACTCGTTGTTTTGAGAATTCGATGAAATGTGCATTGCGTCAGTTATATATTACTTACGATAGTATTTTCTCTATTTCTGTATTTAGGAGAATCATTTGCGACTACGAGGGCAAGTATTGTACCTACAACTTCTCAAGGTAACATAGGAATTCAATTTGTTCAAATCTAAACAATGGTTTGGCCTTCTCCCTTAATGCAAATGTCTCTTAAAAGTTTTTGTTTGGACGATTCAGTGGATCGGGCGCTTAAATTCAAATATAGCCTGCGAACACAGACGTATCTCCGGTTGTCGCTTCTCTCCATCCATCCAAAAAATAATTATAAAAATAATAAATTTATTTTTCTGGTGGAGAGAAGCGGCGACAGGAAACACGTCTGTGTTCGCAGGCTAATTCAAATGATGCTAACGTCCCAAGTTAGTTTACACATATCATGTAGCGATACTACGCCTCCTCCGCAGGCATCACTTTCCTGTTTTAGAGAACGGGTGGGAGAATGGGGAGAGATCAGGGAGTGGCAGTGTTGGCAGTGACTCGATCCTCCTTTTTTTTTTGTCCCTTCTCTTGTTGACAGACTCCTCACGGTCAGTGTAATCGTTCAAAAGGTGTTGCCTGTGAAGGATAATCTGTTCACAGACCGTCTACTTTCTCTTTAGAGGTCGTTTAAGAGCGCTCGCCTCGCTCGTCTGCCTGCCAGTTTTCGAAAAAAAAAGAAAACATCGTCTGTGATATGTGCAGGTTAGCGGAAAAGACTAGGTTAAGACTCTATTTTCTTTGAGGATTTGCGAAATAAGTGGTTTGATGTACCACTTGTTCAGCCAAATCATCTGACACCAGAGCCCTTCATCCTTTTAGTCGATTACAGTCAGGGGATACTGAGCGCCAATGCTTATCTCTTTATCATTAGAATGCTCAGTTTACACAAACCTCGAGGACACGTTGAGGGGAAGATTCAGCGAACTGAAAGGATCACCTCAATGTGACACAAACCTGACGCCAGGATGGTACAGATTCCGAGGAGGAGCTGGCAATCAAATGGCTACTTCTTGCGTAGCTATTAAACACTGTGGTACGCTTGCTCCAGGATGGATGAATGGCTCTCACCCGACAGTGGCCGAAGGCGCAACCGCTGTTCAAGTGTGTTTCCATTGGGCGATGAATTGTTGCCACAGGTCTTCGACCATTCGTGTCCGCAACTGCAGCGGGTTTTACGTATATGAGTTGAAGAAACCTCCTCAGTGCAGCTTGCGTTACTGTGGAAACGGTGGATTGTCAGGTAATGTGAATTTAACCTCCTTAAGTGGGAGATTTTTGCAGAGGCTCTTAAGTCAAAGTAGTGGATTTTGGTTATAATTAAAAGTCGTCAATGTCTGCCGGGCTGGTTCTGTATAAGGATAGCCTGCGAATTCAGCTGTCTATCCTCTCTCTTTGCCGCTGGGGTCGTTTCGCAGAAGAGACTCTGTCAGTAAGTAGACTGCGCTTAAGAATTTAAAATTTGAATCTTTTGTAGAAACGGTCCCTTAAAAGATAAAAGTTATCACAAAATCATTGTTAAAATGTATCTAAAATAAAAAGCCTTATGCTTGGGTAAAAAGAAAGAGAGAAAAATGTTCAAAACAATGCTTGAAACGAGTCTACTTTATCTTTCCAATCACATTTGCAATTTCTGCCCGCTAAAATCGGTGTTAAACTCATGTTTAATTGTTCTGGAGCCTCTTAAAGTAAACTTTAAAAGGAGACATGCTTGATTGCAAACAAGGTCCCTATTCTTAATAATAGTAATTTCTGTTTTAGCTTCAGTATTCAAATGAGACACATTTTATGATAGATATATGATTTATTAGTCTATCCCTTTTTAAATTTACTACATTTTAATGTAATTAAATTTCAGCTTTTGATCTAGTGTAGTCAGATTTCAGGTTTCTATGATGAACTGACTTTCAAGTCAGGTACACATCGGCTTTGCTGCCTTCTTACAACCTGAACTTTTCACGTATCAGTGATCTTATATATCGAAATCTTTTATTTCAGCTTCAAGTATCAAGCCAGTGACAATTAGCACAATTCCCACAGGTAAAATAACATAATGTCTGTGATTTCTAACCTGGTCAATGAACTTGCACAGTGTGCAAGTTCAGGTTATACACTTTTCTTGTGAAAAAGATTATGCGCTGCATTCAGCTTAAATTCCAAACTGAATTTTGAATATAAGGCTCAGTTCATACATCACTCTTCTTTTGTGCCTAAAATCACTGCAGAAGCACGACGTCTAAATCAAAGTTTGGAACTTGTTTGGCAGAGCAATTATATGTTCGACAAGGTCTGAAGTGCTACACAACCATGGCACGGCAGCACGGTGATCCTACCGTCCTGCCTATGCCGGCCGTAACGAGCTTAATTCATATATGTTGGAAATGTCTTTCAGTCGGAAATGTAACAGCTATATGATTATGTACTTTTTTCATTTTACCCCTTTACTTTCACAATTAAGTTCGACCCTGGCATGACGTCTGAAGTTGTACGGAGAGGCAGAACGGCACGAGGTATTATTTGGGTCCAAAGATATGCGTAAGAAACTATTTTCTGAATCGTTATCGTCTCTTGTCTAGAACAATTTTAAATCCGGATTTAGGATTCACGATCAGAAAGATATATTACGGTATGCGTAAAAGACGTGCAAAACGAAAGTTACAGTTTAATGAATCTATTCCATTTATAGGTCCTTCGTCTCAATGCGGTGTTTCTTCAATGCAATCGCGTGTCATTGGTGGAGTTGATGCTAAAATTGGGTCTTGGCCTTGGCAGGTATGCTTTATTTTTAAATACCTTTATTTATTTTTGGAACAAAAATTCTCCTTTCAAGTGTCTCAGCAATTGCACGTCATTTGCTAACAATTACAGGTCAATACCATGGTATTTGTCCTGCCTTTTCTACTAACTTCTTCTGTTACTGTGAAGTGTCGCTTCTGAGCGCCCCTTTGGTTGTACATCTTCGTAAGGGGTTTTAATAGGGCTTATATCTGAGGAGGCTTATCAGGGTATTCGGTAGTATTTGGAAATACCGGATGCAGAGGTTCAGCTGTCGGACTCGCACCGTTCGTGCTGCAGGCGCTAATGTTGAGTGCCGGATCGGAGTCACGAACTTTTTTTAATTACTGTTTTTTAATTCAGCTTCAGAAAGTCATAATAAATCGATGGGGTTAATATTCTTGTGGGGGAGGGGGGGGGGGGGGGGTGGGGTTTTTAGTCGTTTTTTGTTTAGGTTGATTAGAAGGATTTCTTGGATGTGGGGGGGTAGTGTGTGGGGTGGGGGGGGGGGGGGGGGGGGGTGTTGGCTTGAATGGTGTTGTGTGTTTTGGTTTTCGGGGGGTGTGGCGTAGTAGGGGGGGGGGGCCCTTTTGTGGGGGTTGGGGGGGGGGGGGGGGGGGTCGGGGTCGGGGGCTTATAAGTGGCAGTTTACTGTTTATATTTCGTTACAGGTCGCCCTTCTCCGAGGAGAGTCTAAGGTGTTTAGTTGCGGTGGTTCTCTGATTGCTCCTGACTGGGTTGTCACAGCTGCGCATTGCATAGTCCCTGGAAGGTAAGTTATAGAGATGTGTGATGTCACGTTACCGTGGTAACAAAATTTATGGATTTTAACAATTTTTCTTGACAGAAACGGCCATTTGCATTGTCGAACGATGGAAGAAAAGTATAGGCTACTGTTTTTTTCTTGAGTGCAATAATGTACAGGAATTATAGTCATACATTGTACATGCCAATTTTTTTTTGAGCCATATTTGAGACCACCGTTTGTTGAGATCCAGAAATTTGGCTACCATTGCATCGTGACGTGTTTCTGTTCATTTCCTAATTTGAGAAACTGTCAACTGGAACCTGACGGCAAGTTGGTGCCCCCCTTCCCCCAACGTACAAACGTCTGTAAAACTTTGCGACATTGCAGAACTATATATTCATTCTTTTTCTACAAACCTCCCTCAAACGTGGTCATTTTACTATTTTTTAGGCTCTCTTTTCAGTACCAAAAACAAGAAGTCCAAAGAGTACTGCAAAGCTGATTTCAGAACAATATTTCGGCTGGCCATACCAGCCTTCTTCAGGTTTACAGATGTTACTGAACTTATGTAGGAATCACAATTGTATTATATGGATGGAGAATTTCGCAATGAAAATTGTTAAAAAGGGAGAGGCGGAAAGGCACCACTCTTTTCAGTGGTGTCGACCAGTTTTCACTAACTGGTCCATGTCAAAAGTTGAAAACTAACCGTGGAAGGGTCTATTCTCTCAGCAATTATTCATGCACCATATTTACTAAGGAGTGTATATTTTGTTTTCTAGCTCTGCAGATTACTATACAATTCGTCTTGGCGAATATCATCGGATCCGCGTGGAAGGAAACGAACAAGACATCAAGGGCAAGCAGATAATAACACATCCGGGGTATAATTCACCAAGTCCCTTCAACAACGACATAGCCTTAATCCAACTGGAAAAACCAGCCTCACTGAACTCAAAAGTTGGAATCGTTTGCCTCCCAAAGCCTAATGAAATGGCTTTTTCGAGAAAGAGTTGTTATATTACAGGTGCGACGACTTTTTCAAGTACTCGTAAATCGATTTATTGCTTCTTCGCCACAATGTCTTGTTTCTGATATTTTATCTGAACTAGTGGACGGTAACTTGTACATGTGAGATATGTCCTGTCTTTTCAAGAAAAGAAAGACTTTTTGGTTCGAGGACGAGAACGACGACATTGACTTTAGAGCATTCTCAAAAGATAGACTGACCCCGGAAAGCTTCATTGTACTTTTTCTAAACCGGAAAATTAACACAGTTATTGTCATTGAAGACGGTTAAGTCCTCTTCCGAGCTAAAGCACAGAATGTTGAAACTTCTATCTTTTTGTGAAAGGTTTGAACCCAGGAGTCATTTCAAAAGGTTGAGTTTGATCGTCCGGGTGAACGTAGTCCTGAATAGGACTGTTGTTGTTGACAGTGACTGACGTTTCGACAACCTGTGCGGTAGTCATCTTCAGAGTCAAATTGAGTTGTATCACTTCAGTTGATGGTATTATACTCTGGTTATTGATCTGATTGGTCAATTATGTCGCGATGTTATTGGTCGTCTGTCAGTTAAGCCGTGATGTTATTGGCTATTAAGACTCTATCTTTTGATAACTTGTTTTGAGAATGTAAGATCGGGGTATCTTTTAATCACCAACGAATCACGGGTGCGCCGTAGGCGAGAACCAGTAGAGGGGCTAGGGGTGTGGTGCTCCTGCAGAAAATTTTGACGCCTTGATACGCTGAAACGCCAATTTCTAATATTCTGAGAGAACAATTTCTTTCTAAAATGTCCGTTAAACCGATTATAAATTTATTGCTCATTTCAATTTGCATGGCTTTGCGTAAAAGTACCCCGCGATTTTGTTTTGTATTTTTCGTGCAATCTTTTAAAGTTTTCCGGATATCAGTTTCATTTAATTAAGTACATACTCTGTTAGGTGTTCGAAGAACTCATTTGCAAATATCAGAACAGATTTTAAAACCAAATCTCAAGAATTTTTTCCACCCGGATCCCATATTGGTCAGGATTAGTGATTTTCAAGCAAAGTGGGAGAATCCCGACGAGATAGGGATGGTCGAACATCTCTCGCTAAACCCGAAATAAGCTGAAATAGAATGATGACTACACGTCAAAGTTCCCGCCAAAATAACGCTGGTTCACACGCGCGCTCTACTTTGCATTCAGGAAATCTCGTTTTCGTAGTCGTCCTCGTCCTAAGATCACTAAAATCTCTAAAGGTCTCTGTTCTCTTAGTCCATTCCACTTAATCTATTCTTTTCTCAAAACTCTAGTGTGCAGCAATTTTTTCCATTCTGTTTAAAGCGTTTAAGTATAAGATCACATTACGTTTTGGAAAAAATAAACCCTCTCGCGTTCAGTTTGTCAATTTCTCTTCCAGGCTGGGGCAAAATCAAACATCCTGGCTCCTCACACATTATCCTGCAGCAGGCAAAAATACCACCCGTCAATAACACGGCGTGTGCCGCTAAGTTAGCAAACTCTTCAGGTATGGATTTTTTACATGTTTAGATTATTTGTCGTCATTGCCCGGCAGAGTTTTTATTATATTTCTACCAAGGGAACAGTTTGTTACACTTAGAATGGGATCTCATCGTTTTTTTTTTATCACAGGCGTTGGCTCCTTAAGGATAACTCCCGAAATGCTCTGCGCAGGCGAAAAAGGCTTAAATGTTGGCGGTTGTCATGGAGACAGTGGTGGCCCCTACGTTTGCCAGGAATCAAACAAGCGATGGGTTTTGCAAGGGGTAGTGAGTTGGGGCTCACCACAGTGTTCTGCGCTTGGACGATACACTGTATTTGCTCGTGTGGCAAAATTTAGAAAATGGATCGATGACTTCGTGAACTGACTTGACCATGGGAACAAGCCATTTTGACCGAAATGAATAGCAAATTAATACAGCTATTTTTCAGGAACTGGGTAGGAGGGACCACTTTTAGACTTAAGCTTCCTATACATGGTTTTGATTGGCTGCATCGCTTTTTTCTTCCATATCTTGTTCTGTTTTTAATTACCCAACTTGCACGTATTGTTAACACCCACAGTATTTATAAGGAGCTCACATGGCGAAAAGATTGTTGTACAAAAGGAAGCCCTTGTCAGTGATGATGATGAAGATTTGGCACCTGCACTGATACTTTAAGTCAGTTGTTTTGACTCTGTAAATGATCTGCTAAATGAAATGAGTTGTAACTGAAAAGGAAAAAAAAATTAAAGATACGCATAAAACAGAAAACAGAAAACTCTCAGCTATTTACCGTTGTAAAAAATAAAAAAACTGAAAAATGATCCCGTATGCACATCCACCTCCCCTTCCTTTCCAACCCATGTATTTCCGTGTGATTTTATTATTATGAATTATTATTATTTTTAAAAAAATTAAAATGGCATAAATTTACCTACATCTGTACTGCCAATTAATGTAAATGCACCGAACCAAACTGAACGGACTCAGAGGGCATTATACGTTAGTAGCCTGCTAACGCAGATGCGTTTCAGGCCGTCGCTTGCTCTCCACCATAAGCGGCGGCCGTAAATACAGTTGCGCACGCAGGCCACATTACAACCGAACACTGACCAAGTACCAGACGTAACTAATCGATGATAAAAGACATCAATGAGTAATCGATGAGTAATCGCTATAATCAATAGGTAATCGATGACTAATCGATGGCCAAAAATTTTGTGGTGTATCGATTAGTCATCGATGACATCAATTATTCATTGGTGTCATTGATGAGTCCTGATACGTTCGATTTCTCATCGATTAGTCATTGATTACACATCTCAAACACTTTCTAGCAATATTTTTTCTCAACTTATTTCCGATGTTAAAATTTACGTGGTTTTTGACGATAATAATAGCGAAAAAGGAATTGAACTTGCATGTAGAAAACTAATGTATATGGGCCACGACGAAAACAGAGCGGGAAATTAAATACATTAAATATTATAATTATTCACTATAATCAATAGGTAATCGATGACTAATGACTAATAGATGGCCAAAAAATTTTGTCGTCTATCGATTAATCATCGATCATAGATGACATCGATTACTCATTGATGTCATCGATGAGTCTTGATGCGTTCGATTTCTCATCGATCATCTAATGATTATCCATCGATTAGTCATTAATTACACACCTCAAACACTTTCTAGCAATACTTTTTCTCAACTTATTTCTGATGTTAAAATTTACGTGGTTTTTGACAATAATTGAACTTACATGTAGAAACCAATGTATATGGGCCATGACGAAAACAGAGCGGGAAATTAAATATATTTATTGGACAATAACAGAAAATCAAAAACGAAATGTTCAGAAGGTCGAGTTATCTGTCTTTACTCTCTTGGCTATTTTATAGAGTCTATGTCTTTGTTGAGAAACGTAGCCACCGCAGAGTACCTACCTGGTAAAAGATTATTATTATATAAAGCTTGTATCGTGACATTTATGCCAAGGCCTTGGTTTGCGTACCCGCGAGATTATATCGATAATTAATCAATGACTAAATGATGACTGAAAATTTTGTGGCCTATCGATTTTTCATTGATTACTCATTGAATATCTGATATAATCAATGACTAATCAACTGATTACCCATCGACTACCTATTGATTACTCATTGATTTCGTTGATATCTTCTATTAGTTACGTCTGGCATCAGGGGATGGCTAAGCCAATCAGAGCTCTAGAATTGCATTATCTAATGATTCAGTTTTTAATAATTAATGTTATAACATGGTAGGGACCTATACCATCCTGAACATGGGTACTGGTTAGAATTTGGCATGGACAGTGCCCGTTTTTAGCAAAGGTTTGAGGACGAAGGGAAGTCATTCGACAATTGCATATATCGCAAAATACAAATGAGTGTCTGAAATAACAGTAGTGCCATAATAAAAGGCGTTCTACAGGGTGACCTCAGCTTGGGCTCTTCGAAATGCTCAGCGAAAGAACTATACACGCGTGTTTGGACGGGTTTCCAAGTTCAGGAATGGAATCGACGAGACCATGAAATCTTGATACGCTAGATATTCAGAAAATCAAGCGAAAATAAGATGTGTTTTCTCGATGAGAAATGTGTTTGTTTGTGCCTGTGCTATATAATTATAAAATCACGTTATGTAATAGCCTGCAATGTTGCTTAGTTGCAAGTCGATTATGCAATTCCAGGAACTAATAGAAAATAGAAAATTAGAAAGATCTGTTTCAGCCCCAAAGTGTCAATTCAGCCCTACAGGCCAAAGTCTGATTCAGCACTTCCTGGAGCCATTTGAGCACAATTTAGGCCAAAAAAGCTCAATCAAAAGGCTATTCCAGCCCACGGTAGGACCCATTTTAACCCTGGGACCAAATCAGCCCTAGCTAATTGGATTGTATTGGCCCTGATTTAAGGGAGCCACATTAGACCCAAAAATAGGACTGTATTTTACTCACCGAAATGGCCTTGTTTTTAGGGCTAAAACAGATCTTTCTGATTTAGAGTGTGTACAAACAAAATTACTCTTAGACTGGATTTGTTTTTTTTGTACTGTTAAGTTTCCTTGTCTTTCCTTACGCCTTGGAGTTCGAACTTCTCATCTTCGACAAAAACTACGTAATATAGTAAAATTATTGTTATAAAGAATTAGTCTCCCACAACTTTTGCCGTCTCCCTAGCTCTTAGAGATAAATACATGTACAGGAGATCAGAGATGATCATCACAAATGATCATGACTCGCCGAGAATCTTTTTTTTAACGAATAAAACAAAAACGAAAACTAGATGGATAACTTTGTTTCTTGATGTTCTTGTTTATCACCCTCGCTGCCGCGCCTATTATCAAATCAGCTTTTCACACCATAAAATCACTCCTTTTTGAACCAACTACTCGATTATGTTGGCCAATTAAGTAAATTTTCTATTTTGAAGAAAATCCTTTGTTACTAGTAATAATACTTTTGCTGTTGACCCCTAAATGTTGCTCAATTTGTTTAGTGAACTTTTGAACCATGTTTGTCAGCCGGAAGACTCTATCTTATTTCAGTGGAGCGCTTTAAATCTTAAAAGCTTCAAATCATTGCAAACTGCATGGTTACACCATATATAAGTGCACTGAGTCAAACAGATTCTGAAGACAACTGCCGGTGGAGAGGATTACTCTAAAAAAATTGCTCTAGTATTTGAATACTTATGAGAAATTTAACACAATTAATTTTCATAAACTTCATAGCGTCGTCGTTTGTTTTTTCGGCGCCCAATTGAATATGGATAGCCCTTGCTACTTTTTTATGGCTAATTAATACACCGCTGCATTCTTCCCCCGCCTGCGGCAAAGCCTGTCACAAAGAAAAAACGATTAAATCGGACCACTTCCCCCAAAATTGAGTCAGCAATAAATTTATCTTGTTTTCCTATAAAATTCTATAAAAAACATAGACCCAATATCACCACCGCCACCTTTTAAACAAAATTACAACAGTAGCAAGGTAAGTGTTAATCAAAGCTCAGCCCTCAGTTATCGCTCTGACTACCTAACCATCAGCTGTGGAATGTTTCTGTATGTACAATCAAACGAGATTTATTTGCTTCCTTTTTTCATTCACGGAAAACAGTTAGTACACCCATCCTGTATATTGACATTTTATCAAGAAAGAATTCTACAGTTTTGTAGTAATTGCAAATTGTTATTTAACCTTTTAGTTAGTTCCAGATAAAAATTTTTGTTCTTCCCTAGTTCTTTTTCAGAAGGCTCGCGATCGCGGCAAATAAGAAGTTAACACTCGTGCTAATTTGTCAAAATGTTTAAAAGATATTAATCTAGCCGGATTTTTGAAAACCTTACCGCCAAATGGACCTTTTGCGTCCAACAGTGTTTTCCGCCAACTGAAATATCTATAAAGTAGCCATTAGAAAAAAATTGCTTTTTTCTCTTCTCCTCCTTTCTTCCTCCTCGCTCTTTCTTTTTCTCCTTCCCTTTTCCTTCGTTAGTGTGGTTTTGGAGCTATCGATCCCAAAAAGCATCTGCCTTTTGACGCCTTTTCACTCAAATGTCTGCATATTTCTATAGGTTAGTTTTTAAAAAATGGGCGAGACACATATTATGAAGAGGGCGCGTCTGTTGTCCTCCCATCCCCGATTCCTTCCTCCTTCCTTCTTTCCTTGACGCTACCAAATTTCTATTACTAACTGTCTTGACTTTTACAGAGACAATTTGCCCGAAGATTTGGTCAAAATCACGCCCAAGAATACAAAAAGTCGACTTGCGGTTGCAATCTTAACGGGAACCTTTTCACGTTTCTCAACTTGTCTGAATAAAATATAGTTTGATAGAATTATAATTAGTAACGCTTTTTATAAGTCACTGGAAAATTCATCATAACGAAACGTCTAATCTCCACTGACTCAGAAGGATTCTTCCTGGATTTTCAGTTTTGGAGCACTAAAAATTTTATGATAATACCGGCGAATTTTAAAGGCCATTAAAGTATAAGTAATGAATGACCTTTGAAGCGTTGTGTATGAAAGATCCTAATTATTTTGATCTGATTTAGAGTAGCTGTTGTTATAAGATGACAAAGGAGAAGTGGACTTGAGGAAAAAAATCAAAAAACTGTTTTGCTTGTAATGTTTGAGGTATAAGTCCCTTCTTAAGGGACTTTTACTTTCAAACATAAACATTTTTTTAGTATAACACAAGCTTAAAGGGCGTAGGTTGATAGATTAATTTGTCAAAAAAGTACGAAAAAGATATGTTGGCAAAATTCGAAAGGGATAGCGGGAAATTAGCTATTGAGTTTTTCCTTCGATGAAGGGAAACTGAGTTACTTGGACTAATTTGCCCAATGAGAAAATCTGCAA